AATGATGACAATTACATTTAGTCATTAGCAGACGCTTTTATCCAAAGCGACTTACAATTGGGGATACATAAAGCGATTCTTCTTAAAGAGGCAAACAGACACAGGAAGTGTTTGAAATACCAAGTTTTAAGCATTGTTCAAATTGGTACAAGCTAGAAAAGGCAAGGAATAAATAAAGAGAAAGAAAAAAAGTGTGTTTTTTTTGTTAGTTTTTTTAGATGAAGTCAAGTAGCGTTTAAAGAGATGAGTTTTCAGCTGTCGCTTGAAAATTGTCAGGGATTCAGCATTCCGGATAGGGGTGGGAAGATCATTCCACCAGCCAGGAACGGTGAACGAGAATGTTCTGGAAAGTGATTTTGAGGCTCTCTGTGATGGTACCACGAGGCGTCGCTCACTAGCGGATCTCAGACTTCTGGAGGTGATGTAGATTCGTAGTAGTGAGTGGAAGTAGGCGGGTGCTGAGCCTGTGGCTGTTCTATATGCAAGCATCAATGTCTTGAACTTGATGCTGTCGCTTGAAAATTGTCAGGGATTCAGCATTCCGGATAGGGGTGGGAAGATCATTCCACCAGCCAGGAACGGTGAACGAGAATGTTCTGGAAAGTGATTTTGAGGCTCTCTGTGATGGTACCATGAGGCATTGCTCACTAGCGGATCTCAGACTTCTGGTGGGGATGTAGATTCGTAGTAGTGAGTGAATTTGCCACCTCGTAAAATAAAAAACGTATTTTATGAGGTGGCAAATTCGTAGGAATTCATACAAAGGACCACCCCTGACCCCGCCCCTAAACGTACCCCTCACAGAAATCATACAAAGGCCCTGTCCCAAATCACACCCTAAACCCTTGCAGGTCTTCCTCTGAGTCCACGCTTTCGTGACGTAATGCCGCTTGGACTGTCGGGTAGAAATCTATTGTGGAGCTTGGCAGAAGTACACATCGAGGGTGCATAGCGGCCGCAAATGGGGCACTTCCGAGCACCCTTCTGAAAGCTAAAATGACGAATGGGATACCCTACTGTCTCAGGGACTTAAAGGACATGTGGACGGCCATTGTAAGCCCACAAGACCGCAAGTGCACAGGAAGTGTGCCATTTGGGACAGGGCCAAAATCGTACGAGTGAGGTCATATGGATTCGTAAGAATTAGCCACCTCGTAAAATACGTACGAATTGGTCGTGAGATAGTGTTGTTATTTCCATGCCTTAGCTACACCATCATGTTACACATTTGCATAATGCCTGTCTATTGGCTGCTTTGGTCCACCTTCTAAGGACAGTTGGGTGAATGATTTTGACATGACAAGTTTATACGACATATAATACTGTTTTCAGCTGCACATGAAGCCTCAGGAGCTGAAACCCGATTATGGTAAGAGTTGCAACATTTCCGACACATGTTTTAAGTGGCTGACCAATCACAGCAGACTAGACCAACAGACCAATCAGAGCAGATCGGGCTTTTCAGAAAGACAGGCTTTGGATGAAACAGTTACCGGTTTGACGGTAAACCTCGATTTAAAAAGTCTCGACCGATAGTATTACTGTTTCATATTTCGCTGTCTCATGAAGCGTAGGTTTTGTGTTTGTGTGCAAACATGATGGAAGGCACGGTGCAGAGAGAAAACATGAAATAAAGTATGTATGAATGAATGAATAAGATGAATGCATAAGGGGGAGCCGACTGTCTTCAAAAAAGTTTCCATGGCATTTGCTTTTCATTTTCTCTCTGTGTATCGCCTAATAATGCAGTGTTTATATGCGCAGCAATGCTTTGTTTATAGCGGTTACTGTGGAAACAGCTCTATTTCTGCTGTTCCATAAGTGCCACCTGCTGGCAGACAGTGGAATTACATTCTCATTCAGCCTGTCTGCCGTTTCTGTTCATACCAAATATGTATTGTAAATCTTAACCGGTAGATGAAAGACAAGTTAATGCATTCTAAAAATCTCAACACTTTGGACAATAAGGTTGCTTTTGTACAATTGTTTATGGAACAGATAAAATGCCTGTAACAGATATAAAGGCTGAAATGTAAGGTTTATCATTATCAGCCTCTTCTGTTCATCAAGGCTGCATTTATTTGACCAAAAATACAGGAAAAACCGTAATATTGTAAAATATAATTACCATTTAAAATAATGGTTTTCTATTGTAATATTCTTGAAAATAATCATTTATTTCTGTGATGCAAAACAGAATTTTCAGCATCATTACTCCAGTCTTCAGTGTCACACGATCCTTCAGAAATCATTCTAATATGCTGATTTATTATCAATGTTGGAAACTAGTGTTGCTTAATTTAATGAAATTTTTATTTTTGTGGAACCTGTGATACATTTTTTCAGGATTCTTTTCAGAATTTAAAACATCCTTGCCAAACTTCTGAATGGTAGTGTATGTTGTTACAAAAGATTTCTATTTTGAATAAATGCTGTTCTTTTTAACTTTTTATTCATCAAAGAATCCTGAAAAAAGTATCACAGATTCCAAAAATTATTAAGCAGTAAAACCGCTTACAAAGCTTAACATTAATCAAAACATTACAAATCTTACTGATCCCAAACTTTTGAAAGACTGTGTGTGTGTGTGTGTGTGTGTGTGTGTATGGCAATTATTTTAATGTTTATGCAAACAAAAAGTGCATAAAAAAGTGCACTGCTATGCCTTTTGTTTGTTGGTTTTCGACAGTGTTTGTGACCTGTGTACTAACAGGGTGGTGAAGGAGTGGTCTTTGAAAGACTGTGTGTGTGTGTGTGTATGGCCATTATTTTAATGTTTATGCAAACAAAAAGTGCATAAAAAAAGTGCACTGCTATGCCTTTTGTTTGTTGGTTTTCGACAGTGTTTGTGACCTGTGTACTAACAGGGTGGTGAAGGAGTGGTCTTGTAAATGTCCCCCATGAAAGATTCACATAGTGCTTTTAATTATTAAGTATTAAGTTGAAATATTAAACATGTCTGTCGGCTGGTCCACGGTCAGGTGTTGCTCTGTTTGATGTTAGGGTAGAGTGAAAGTGCTCGGAGATCTTCATCCCGGGCTGTTGTGACTCATGGTGGAGGTTATGGGTTGGCCAACACCCAAGCAGGATCCTGGTGAGTAGATTACATCAAATGCTGCGTCAGAGGTCTTTGATGGTTCGTTGTGGCTGATCCGTCTCTTGAGTATTCAGCTGTGAAAATCCTGTCTGCTTGGAGAATGTGACAAATCTGCGTCTCAGTTGTTAGGTGCAAGAGTTTGTGTCTTACACGTGTGCTGGGGGCAAAGGTCAATGCCCAAAGTCCTTCCTCTGTGCGTTTAAGCAAGGCAGAAGAACTGTCAGTTGTGCCTATTGGTCTGCTGTGGAAGATGGGGACAACCTGATCTGTGCATGTCTGCAAAGACTGATTATAGAGCAGGTCAGTGGGGCCAGTACCTCCTGGAAGGGGCTTCCAGCTGAGAAGCTCAAACCTGGAAACAAGCCACTGCAATGCAAAACTGATACAGACAGCACTTGAGTCTGTGCCAGTGACTATTGCCACAACGTGAAATAAGAAATCATATCATTTGACGTTTTATACTAGTCATGGCAGGCCCGGTGCCAGAGGGGGGGCTTGGCCCCCCCACGGACATCCCTGTGCATCTTAGATCTTAGACACACATGCCTATATGCTTGGGGAGTGTATGTGGCCCATCTGGGGTTAAAACTGAAGGGAATCCCATACCTGCATGTTTCACTGGCACCAAAGGCTCTGAGCATGGCCACAGGGGTTCTGGACAGGGAATATATGGTTTCATGGTAGGAATAAATTTAGATCACTCTGGTTTTCACATGCAGTGAGCCCATGCACTGTGATGTCTGTTCGAGGACACCCATGAGGTGAACCACAAAGGCTGGAGGATGGAGACAGCCACAACCTGTCGCACTGCCATCATAAACTCAACCCTAGGAAACGCAGCCATTGTTAACAATTGAAATGATCACTATGGCCCATTGGTGGATCACACATTCTTCAGCATAAATCATTGCCCACTGAATCAGAACATGACAGATCAAATCAGCAGGTGTCTGAGTGAATCTCATGTTAGGAACATGTCCAGGTCATATTTCATTCCAACATCAGGGACAATTTGGATTTACAATTATTTTTTTTGCATTGTGGCATTATGACAATTAAGCACATGGTAATAATTCTGCAGTTCATGCAAATAATATTTTTTTTGTTATTGCTGTAATAAAATAATTGTATTATATTGTTGTAGATTACAGTAGTATTTGTTAAGCTAGTAGGCATATTTGTAAAGATTACTGTATGTATTGAGAATCTAATGAGAATCAATAAAAAAAAAATTAACAACATTTTTTTATTTAGCAGATGCTTTCATCCAAAGTGACATACAAATGAGGGACATCCCAAGCATTTTGTCACAGAGCACAGTCTCAACAATATTCATAGTATAGCACAATACCAGGTTTATTAGAAAGCGGGAAACGTGCTATAGAGTAGACTGATCCCAAACTTTTGAAAGACTGTGTGTGTGTGTGTGTGTGTGTGTGTGTATGGCCATTATTTTAATGTTTATGCAAACAAAAAGTGCATAAAAAAGTGCACTGCTATGCCTTTTGTTTGTTGGTTTTCGACAGTGTTTGTGACCTGTGTACTAACAGGGTGGTGAAGGAGTGGTCTTGTAAATGTCCCCCATGAAAGATTCACATAGTGCTTTTAATTATTAAGTATTAAGTTGAAATATTAAACATGTCTGTCGGCTGGTCCACGGTCAGGTGTTGCTCTGTTTGATGTTAGGGTAGAGTGAAAGTGCTCGGAGATCTTCATCCCGGGCTGTTGTGACTCATGGTGGAGGTTATGGGTTGGCCAACACCCAAGCAGGATCCTGGTGAGTAGATTACATCAAATGCTGCGTCAGAGGTCTTTGATGGTTCGTTGTGGCTGATCCGTCTCTTGAGTATTCAGCTGTGAAAATCCTGTCTGCTTGGAGAATGTGACAAATCTGCGTCTCAGTTGTTAGGTGCAAGAGTTTGTGTCTTACACGTGTGCTGGGGGCAAAGGTCAATGCCCAAAGTCCTTCCTCTGTGCGTTTAAGCAAGGCAGAAGAACTGTCAGTTGTGCCTATTGGTCTGCTGTGGAAGATGGGGACAACCTGATCTGTGCATGTCTGCAAAGACTGATTATAGAGCAGGTCAGTGGGGCCAGTACCTCCTGGAAGGGGCTTCCAGCTGAGAAGCTCAACCCTGGAAACAAGCCACTGCAATGCAAAACTGATACAGACAGACAGACAGCACTCGAGTCTGTGCCAGTGACTATTGCCACAACGTGAAATAAGAAATCATATCATTTGACGTTTTATACTAGTCATGGCAGGCCCGGTGCCAGAGAGGGGGGCTTGGCCCCCCCACGGACATCCATTTTTTTACTTTATATTTATATTCTGTAAATATATATTCATAATACATGTCATCAGCAACTGTCCAAAGGTTTGTGATTGAATGCATGAATGTTAATGTGTTAATGTCTCGTTGTTTCAGATTGTCTGCACCATGAAACTCACTGTAGTTCTGCTGCTCTGTGGCTGTGGTGTGCTATTTAAACACAACTGTGAAGCCCAAGGTAAATATTTACTTATTTTCCACTACCAAATTACATTTCATACACTATTTACTGTATATTGCAGTAATTCAATATACATACAGTATAATAACTTCCAAGTTCCCAATATAAAACAAATCATTTAAATATTTTATTAATTCTGAATAACTTTTCTACACATCCCAGCACTGCCTGAGCATACATTATTAAAGGGCACTGATAACAGAAATATCATTTTAGGCATTTTGATATTTTTGTTCGAATTGATATTGAGAATTTTGAGTAAATGTGTAATGTAAGTTCTCTTTTGATTTCAACCAGTTTCTTTACAACTGATTTGCAATCATTTAACCGTATTATGTATGCTTACTAGATACTGATATTAACATCAGCCATTTAAAAATCCATATTGGTAAACCCCTAGAGCATGAGCTGCTTTATTTGTAAAGCGCTTTCACAATACACACCATTTTAAAGCCGCTTTACAAAAAAAATCATGATGTGAATGTTTATAATATCTTAATATTTTCATTCCTAGAACGTGCATTTAGCAGATTACAGCTGGAAGATAATATAGTTTACATTTTGCGGTGATATAAACAATCACAGAGCCAAGATTTGCTCTATAGGCCCATTGCTGTACATGAGTGTATTATATGTATGTGGGTGAAATTGAATGTGTATATATCCATCTTTAGAATATATAGCTGGCTGATTATACTGTATAGTTGAAATTATGATAAACTATGATGATATAAACAATCAGGCGCTTGAGATTTGCTACACAGTATATTTCACTTTATGTGAGTGTACCAAATAATTGTTTATTTTTTTATAAAGACTTATGTTTGCACTTTATTTTACTGTATGTGTATTTACAATGTACTTACCTAAGAAAGTAATGGGTAATATACGGTAACTACATGAGTTGAGGTTAGGTTTAAGGGTAGGTTCAGGGTTAGTACCTAGTTAATACATTGTTATTGTAATCACGATAATAAGTACATAGTATGTACATGCAGAAAAGGACTGTAAAATAAAGTGCTACCAGACTTTTCCTGGATTGATTTCACTGGAAGACACTGAATTTTTACTGTAAAATTACTGTGAAGTCATGGCAATAGTTTATAGTGTACGGTAATAATACTGATATAATTGTATAAAATATCTGTTTAGCATGTGCCGCAGTGAAACTAGATATATGGCAAGTTAAGCGCAAAGCACACATCCAACATAGCTTGTGCCAACATTATCTTTCGTAAATGCTCTAATCATAAGAATTGGCCATACGGGCTGTTCATTTCCTCAAACTGTTTCTACCAACTGTGCTGCAACAGGATCCTGGTGAGTAGATTACATCAAACGCCGCGTCAGAGGTCTTTGATGGTTCGTTGTGGCTGATCCGTCTCTTGAGTATTCAGCTGTGAAAATCCTGTCTGCTTGGAGAATGTGACAAATCTCCGTCTCAGTTGTTAGGTGCAAGAGTTTGTGTCTTACACGTGTGCTGGGGGCAAAGGTCAATGCCCAAAGTCCTTCCTCTGTGTGTTTAAGCAAGGCAGAAGAACTGTCAGTTGTGCCTATTGGTCTGCTGTGGAAGATGGGGACAACCTGATCTGTGCATGTCTGCAAAGACTGATTATAGAGCAGGTCAGTGGGGCCAGTACCTCCTGGAAGGGGCTTCCAGCTGAGAAGCTCAAACCTGGAAACAAGCCACTGCAATGCAAAACTGATACAGACAGCACTTGAGTCTGTGCCAGTGACTATTGCCACAACGTGAAATAAGAAATCATATCATTTGATGTTTTATACTAGTCATGGCAGGCCCGGTGCCAGAGGGGGGGCTTGGCCCCCCCACGGACATCCCTGTGCATCTTAGATCTTAGACACACATGCCTATATGCTTGGGGAGTGTATGTGGCCCATCTGGGGTTAAAACTGAAGGGAATCCCATACCTGCATGTTTCACTGGCACCAAAGGCTCTGAGCATGGCCACAGGGGTTCTGGACAGGGAATATATGGTTTCATGGTAGGAATAAATTTAGATCACTCTGGTTTTCACATGCAGTGAGCCCATGCACTGTGATGTCTGTTCGAGGACACCCATGAGGTGAACCACAAAGGCTGGAGGATGGAGACAGCCACAACCTGTCGCACTGCCATCATAAACTCAACCCTAGGAAACGCAGCCATTGTTAACAATTGAAATGATCACTATGGCCCATTGGTGGATCACACATTCTTCAGCATAAATCATTGCCCACTGAATCAGAACATGACAGATCAAATCAGCAGGTGTCTGAGTGAATCTCATGTTAGGAACATGTCCAGGTCATATTTCATTCCAACATCAGGGACAATTTGGATTTACAATTATTTTTTTTGCATTGTGGCATTATGACAATTAAGCACATGGTAATAATTCTGCAGTTCATGCAAATAATATTTTTTTTGTTATTGCTGTAATAAAATAATTGTATTATATTGTTGTAGATTACAGTAGTATTTGTTAAGCTAGTAGGCATATTTGTAAAGATTACTGTATGTATTGAGAATCTAATGAGAATCAATAAAAAAAAAATTAACAACATTTTTTTATTTAGCAGATGCTTTCATCCAAAGTGACATACAAATGAGGGACATCCCAAGCATTTTGTCACAGAGCACAGTCTCAACAATATTCATAGTATGCCAGAGGGGGGGCTTGGCCCCCCCACGGACATCCCTGTGCATCTTAGATCTTAGACACACATGCCTATATGCTTGGGGAGTGTATGTGGCCCATCTGGGGTTAAAACTGAAGGGAATCCCATACCTGCATGTTTCACTGGCACCAAAGGCTCTGAGCATGGCCACAGGGGTTCTGGACAGGGAATATATGGTTTCATGGTAGGAATAAATTTAGATCACTCTGGTTTTCACATGCAGTGAGCCCATGCACTGTGATGTCTGTTCGAGGACACCCATGAGGTGAACCACAAAGGCTGGAGGATGGAGACAGCCACAACCTGTCGCACTGCCATCATAAACTCAACCCTAGGAAACGCAGCCATTGTTAACAATTGAAATGATCACTATGGCCCATTGGTGGATCACACATTCTTCAGCATAAATCATTGCCCACTGAATCAGAACATGACAGATCAAATCAGCAGGTGTCTGAGTGAATCTCATGTTAGGAACATGTCCAGGTCATATTTCACTCCAACATCAGGGACAATTTGGATTTACAATTATTTTTTTTGCATTGTGGCATTATGACAATTAAGCACATGGTAATAATTCTGCAGTTCATGCAAATAATATTTTTTTTGTTATTGCTGTAATAAAATAATTGTATTATATTGTTGTTGATTACAGTAGTATTTGTTAAGCTAGTAGGCATATTTGTAAAGATTACTGTATGTATTGAGAATCTAATGAGAATCAATAAAAAAAAAATTAACAACATTTTTTTATTTAGCAGATGCTTTCATCCAAAGTGACATACAAATGAGGGACATCCCAAGCATTTTGTCACAGAGCACAGTCTCAACAATATTCATAGTATAGCACAATACCAGGTTTATTAGAAAGCGGGAAACGTGCTATAGAGTAGAGGAGAGATGCACAAAACATCGCATTATATGTGACCACAAAACCAGTCATAAGTGTCAATTTTTCAAAATTGAGATTTATACATGATCTGAAAGTAGAATAAATAAACTTTCCATTGATGTATGGTTTGTTAGGATAGGACAATATTTGGCTGAGATACAACTATTTAAAAATCTGGAATCTGGGGGTGCAAAAAAAAATCTAAATATATTGAGATAATGGCCTTTAAAGTTCTTCGCAATGCATATTACTAATCAAAAATTAAGTTTTGGTATATTTACAGTAGGAAATTTACAAAATATCCAAATGATTTTTGGCATAAAATTTAAATCTATAGTTTTGACCCATACAATGTGTTTTTGGCTATTGCTACAAATATACCCGTGCTACTTATGACTGGTTTTGTGCTCCAGGGTCACAGATTATATATTCTTTAAACTTATAAGTCGACAGTAATTTTCATGTACATATTTTAATGTAAACTGTAAAAAATACAAACTCTGCACATCTAAAAAAGTTCTTTTAAGTAAGACTTTGATCATTTTTTTTCCTACTATTTGCTGGTTTTGGTTCCATACTCATCTGTTTCTTTTTCTTTCTTTTTACACTTTGCTTAAAAAGAAATAATCAGTTTTATTTCAAATGAATCTGATTTTCCAGTGTGAGGATATTCTGGGAAATTTATTCTGTTTGTTTATTGCCTCAGTTCACTTGGTATACTGCTGTTCATACAGTATAATGCGTGTGGGACAGTGATGCAACATTTTGTCACACTGCACCACTACTTAGAAAAAGTTAGAAATTTAGAAAACAACTGAGCTACTGTCACAATAGTGAATAATGTAATAAAGTTATTAGCATGGCTTCTTTTAGTAAAAAATAATAGTTCAATATGAGTGAAAATGCTGTCAGTTTTTTGTTATATTACACAAAAAATTTGTTGTGAATTTAGCATACATTTAACAATGATGAATCATACAAAAACAAGTTGAACTGAATCATGACCCATTTCCAGATTTCTTGCCGTGTCATATTTCGAAACCATTGTGACTGCAAATATTTACGCATGCTTCTGAATTAGGCCTGGAGGCTTTTCTAGAATAGACTCCTCCAGTTTGTACAGCATGTACAAGACGAGGTTATTTGCACAACATCTGTCCATCAGCACTCTGAGATCAATGGACTTCTGTTTGCTGTCACACCCGGACTCATTCTCTATAGTGTTTGCTCCAACCTGGATTCAAACAACCCCGTCTTATTCATCCATAGCATGATTTGAACTTGCAGTAAATGCAGCGAGCAAACAGACAACATACAGGAAGGAAAGAAAATAGCTTTAAGTGTGAATATTGGATTATTTATGCAAGCGTTCTACTTTGCATATTGCATATGTTGCATATCTTACATTTTTAAGATTACTGTTCTTCACTTGCTCCCTCGCTCATGAATGAGAGCAATCCCACTCCATAGCAAAATTTGTGGCCCACTACAGATCCACTGAAAAGTTACTTTCAATATGTTTCGTTTTTAATATCATGAGTTTAAGTCTTTGGTTCTTTTAATTGTGATGATTTTGGCTCACATTTAACAAAAACCCACCAATTCACTATCTACTGCAGTCTGTGTGCATTGAATATATTTAATGCACGAGTTTTAATTTTAGTTTAATTACTGAAATAAATGAACTTTTCCACGACATTCTAATTTATTGAGATGCACCTGTATATGGGCAAAAGTATTGCAACACATCTCTCAGCTATTGAGTTCATGCGTTTCAGTCAGCTATGAAGCAGAAGACCACTATGGTGTGACAAATCACGCTTCACTGTTTGGCAGTCTGATGGCCGAGCCTGGGTTTGGCAGATGCCAGGAGAATGTTGCCTGACTGACTGCACTGTGCTAGCTGTAAAGTTTGGTGGAGGAGAGATAATGGTATGGGGCTGTTTTTCAGGGCTAATCCCCTTACTTCCAGTGAAGGGAAATCTTAATGCTTCAGCATACCTTAACAATGCTGTGCTTCCAACTTTGTGGAAATAGTTTGGGGAAGGCCCTTTTCTATTCCACCTTGACTGTGCCCCAGTGCACAAAGCAAGGTCCGTGAAAGCATGGTTGGATGAGTTTGGTATGGAAGAACTTCACTGGCCCACACAGAGCCCTGACCTCAACCCCATCAAACACCTTTGGGATGAACTGGAAAGGAGATGATCAGTCAGGCCTTCTTGTACAACATCAGTGTCTGAACTCACAAATGCTCTACTGCATGAATAGGCAAAAATTCCCACAGAAACGCTACAAAATATTGTGGAAATCCTTCCCAGAAGAGTGGAAGCTGTTATAGCTGCAAAGGGGGGACCGACATACATACAGTGGGGAAAAAAAGTATTTAGTCAGCCACCAATTGCTATGTATTTAGAATGCAATCCCATTAAAGTCCCTGTTGGTGTAATGGTCAGGTGTCCCAATACTTTTGTCCATATACTGTATATGTTAAATGAAAACAAACATGACTTGTAACATTAGCCCTTTATATTTATGCTACCCTCAGAAAAATGGAAAGATATCAGAGCAGTCTAAAGGTGTGTTTACACGACAGTGCGAGAACAATTGTACTAAAATAGAAAAGTTTTTCCTTTGCTTTTTTATAAAAACTTTTGCATAGACTCCAACATTGTCAAAACGGATCCCCCTTCACATGGATCCATCGACAGATGTCACTTGTGAACTACAATGCAGCACTATTCCTACAGACGGAGCGTGTAATAAGCACGTGTATGATGTCAACATATTTTCATAAATTCGTGTTTTCATAGTTTACTCGAAGACGGTAACGGTATCATTTTCAAAATCTTGCACTTTGAAACCCATTTTCAAAAGTTCGCTTTTCAGACTCCCAAAACACTGTTATCGTGTCAATTAAAGCCAAACGGCTGTTAACTCATTACGAGAACAAATTATTTTGGTTTTAAATATTAAACTAATCCTTCAGCTGTCTAGGTTTAAGAGATTACGCTTCATGTTGTTGTTTGGGCCGCTCTCGGTTATCAGTTTGTACTTTTCAGCTGTTGAACTGATAGCGCAGGAAAGCCAAGCTTGCATTGTTCAAAGCTCTGTGTTTCCAGGAATACAGGTCTTACACTTGGCCAGATTACATGGAAAATGCTTCCCATTCCAGGGCCACTGAATGAATTTGAGCTTACACACGTATTGTGTCTCACATACCAGCCTTTATCTGAAATAGTCACACGATTAAGTGAGCATGTCAGATGGGGGGTAAATGAACTTCTCGTAAGTGTATACTTGATTTGCATATCGATAATTATAACTTCCTGTCTATAGGGAATAATTTAGCAGTGTGTTTAGTGGAAACGCACACAGGACGTGTGATGTAAGAGGCTGGCTGTGAGCGCCGGGTTTGAAGGCATGTAGGGGTTGGGCCCTGGGCGATGGTGAATTCTTGTGATGTTCGGGCAAAGCTCATACGGGCGGAGACATGAGCACATTCCTCTCCTCCCACCGCACACGCTCCCCTCGTGCCCATCACCACAGACACACGCGCTTCCTGGCCGTCCCCCAACACACACATACACACCCTGCACTAACATCCACCAGAGCGCAAAATCCAATACTGGATGAGCACGGCCAAGAATGCGAAATCACTCGGTCGGGATAGTGATGATGATGGAGATCATAAAATAAATTACATTTTGCATTTTTAAGACCTTTAATATTCTTTCTGTTTTCATAACACTTTTTCCCTTCAGCATTTGTCCTCATTACTCTCAATAATGAATGTAATTAGATTCACATTAATGTTTTTACTGTATTACTCTTAAAATGACTTTAAATTAATACTGCCATAATGTACTTCACATTTTAAATTAAGTTAGTGTATTCACCCTTGACAGACTGACCAAGATGGAAAACTGATAGTAAAGCAAATGAAAAATTAAAGGGATAGGTCACCACAAGATGAAAAACGTGTCATTTCCTCACCCTCGTGTTGTTCCAAACCTACATGAGTTTCTTTCATCTGTTGAGCACAAAAGAAGATAATTTGAAGAATGCTGGTAACCAAACAGTTGCTGGTAGCCATTGACTTCTATAGTATTTTTTCCAATATGTGGAAGTCAGTGGCTACCAGAAACAGTTTGCTTACCAACAATATATATATTTTTTTTGTGTTCAACAAATGAAAGAAACTCATACAGATTTGGAACAACATGAAGGTGAGGAAATTATTACAAATCTTTCATTTTTGGGTGAACTATCCCTTTAAGATAACTAATTAATTGACACAGTTTGTCTTCCTCGGATTTTTCCAGTGTCTCTCACTGAAAGCTTGTCACACTAAATTAGCTTTCCTTCAGGCAAGATCAACACGTATGTGCATCTTAGTATGCACTAGCTGTTGTTTACTACACTCAACAGGCTACATAAGCTGTTGAAAAGTGACACTGAACGCACATGCCTTCTTCAAGTGACAAACTCTCAGAGACAAGCTAGAGCTTGTTATGTGATCTGAAGGGCTTGTTTACTTCATTTGAAGAGGAATTATCATTGACGATTGCTGTTATGCAGTAATTTCTGAACTCTATTGTTTACACAATTGCCAAAGAAAAAAACATAACAGGATACCTAACAAGAGCCAAAGAATAATAAAAATATATACAAAACATTATATTAAATGTATTCTTCTCTTCACCGTTTCATTTTCCTCCGTAGAAACATCTCCAGCACCCTCAGTCAGTAACTGCACGTGTGAACTTGGTCATGGAAAATGTGCTGAAAACGGTGATTGCAGGTGAGTGGGTTCGTCAGGGTGAAATATGGGCTTGAGACTTTCAGGTGTTTTGGTGAAGTATATCTTACTTGTGCAAGCCTGTTCCCGCTCACTACTAGAAGAAGAAAACCGTAAACAGATTAACAGTACAATGAACATGGCATGTAGGGTTGACTCTTGCCTCTGTGTGGCAGGTGTGATCCGGGATGGGGTGGACCGCGTTGTGATGACTGCGTGCGAATGCCCGGATGTGTCCATGGCACCTGCCATCAGCCCTGGCAGTGCACCTGCATGGACGGGTGGACGGGGCGATTCTGCGACAAAGGTGATTAATTATTCACGGAAGATGCTTTTATCGATTAACATGACAGCACTGACTTTTCTGCTAAAAGAAATCCAATATGATTTCCAAGTATTTTAATATTTATCCAAGAAATAAATGACGGGGGCATGAACATTTTTTAGTTGCAACCCAGGCTCATTGAAAATATATGACTCTGCATACATTTCTGCAAAACCTGAAATACGTTGCTCTGGGCTGCACTTTTCAGTCGCAAGAGGCGCTTAAAGCCATATCATTTTAATATAGACCCTTAAAGCTATATCAATTCATCATTGCAGAAGTGGGTTTATTAAACAGCACAGCATCATGAAAAAACATGCCTATGTATACAAAGCGGTTGTGAAATGATATTGTGTTACTTGTAGCACGCTTCAAAGCCGTTTCAAAGCCAAATGTCCAGTTTGTGGCGCTAAATAGTGTTTTCTCTCCAAAACAGTGAAGCGTGACGGTGGCAATGCTTGTGTTTGTTGTGTATATATCATGACAGTTCAGAAATGAAATGTCCTAGAGCGGCGCTAAAAGTTTATTGATTTACATTTGAAATGAATGTACCAACTTGACTAAACCGTACTTTAAATCAAACCAGTAGTACTGTTAACAAAAGCGACTGTGAGATAAAAATACATTTTCTGAAGCAAACATGCCATTTTAGATTTGTTATACAAGGCTTTGAGTTTTTTTTTTGGAGTGTCGTGATTCATCTTTCACGGCATTTGTACCTCAATGCTCTGCATCACAAGTGCAGTGCTGTACCAGGTGAGCTACTGAGCAAGTTTACTGTCAGAAAAGCCATAAATATGGAGCTGGATATGTGATGCAAACATTAAAATGTATTAGTTTACACATGAGTTTTGAGGTCACAACATAATATTGTGCAAGGAAGCGTGCAAAAATAAGCTTTTATTAATAGATAATCTGCCTCTGTAATCATACAGTAAGCGGTGTGAAAAAAAAATATCAAAAGTTGGTGTTTTACTGCCACTAGTGTTCATTTCATCTGGAAACTGCAGTGAAATTTATGTAAAGGTAAGTTTTTCAGAAATGTAGCCAGCCACATATTTTCAATGAGCATGGGTTGGTTATTCTAGTATTATTTATATACTAATACGGTATTTATTAATTAATTTTTTGTTAACTTTTTTTTGTATTTTTAGTTTTTTATTTTAATTTTAGTTTAAGATTTAATCATTTTGATCTGTGCCTTTTTCCTGTTATATTAGTTTTAAACTTATTTTATTTCGGTTACTTGCCAAGGCAGCATTTCAAATTTTCGTTTAAGTTTTTCATTTTCATTTCTGCAACGAAGGTGATTAATCATTCATGACTTTAAGTGGCAGACACTTTAATAGATTGACATAACAGCGCTGACTTGTTTTCGCAGATATTTACGTGTGCTCCAGAGAGCAGCCGTGTCAGAATGGGGCTACTTGCGTCTTGAATGACTCTGGGGATTATAGCTGCTTATGTCCTGAAGGCTTTCATGGGCGGGACTGTGAACTGAAAACTGGGCCTTGCCAAAAGACTAAGTAAGTGTTTTTTTCTTTTCATGTGTAATGTAAATGCATGTTTGTGTTCAAATGTACTCACCTGCCTAACATCACAAAGCTGCGGAAGAACAAACGAACCATTTTTAGAAGGACTTTCTGATTACAACGTTTCAATTAACTTTTTTTTTTGTAAGATCAGTGAATAGTGGTTTGTTCATGATTTGACCCCTTTAAGTAAACATTTTGTTAGGCTATGATCCTTAATCTATTAGCACACAAGTCCAGATGCACTGGCACAGGTAGCACAACAGCCTGGTCAATTTGCAGCCTCCAAAGTGCAATCATGTAATTCAATGCGCTCATTACTGGCCCTTTAAGAGACTGCTAATATTGCAGCTCGGCCCCTACTGTTCGTCCCATGACGACCAAAACAAACTGACTGAGACTGGACCAGTTGCAACAATGTTCTAGAAACAACAAATTATTACTTGAAATATTACAGTATATGGTTTAGCCTGTGAATATGAATGATGTAATCAGTATGTTTTCACATGTCAAAAGTTTAATATACAAAAACAACTAAATAAATAAGCCATTCACAGGGCTGATTCCTCTCAAAAATATACATCATGACTCTTTGGAAGATCTGTTTGCTTGAGCGTTTTGACCTGCTTGACATATCAACACTGGCTCAGCCAATGGCATTACATTAGGGCAGAGCTTTCTGTTTGTCCAACCAATGGCAGTAGAAAAGGAAATCGTAAGGAATTTAACCATTGTGGTTCCAATACTGATTCCTTAAAGGGTTAGTTCACTCCAAAATGAAAACTCGGTCATTAATTCCTCACCCTCATGTCGTTCCAAACCTGTAATACCTCCGTTCATCTTCAGAACACAAATGAAGATATTTTTGATGGAATCTAAGAGCTCTCAGACCCTGCATAGACAGCAACGCAACTGAAATGTTCCCAGAAAGAAACGTAAGCAAGGACATCGGTAAAACAGTCCATGTGACATCAGTGGCTCAACTTCAATTTTGCGAAGCTACGAGAATACTTTGTGTGTGCAAAAACAAAAATGACGACTTTATTCAACAATTATTTTCCCCCGAGTTACTGTCTTCCACCATTTTGGAGAGTATCACAACAGATATGCACGCTTTACCCTAAGTGTAAACCACGCTGATTATGCCGATTAACGTAAACAACGCTGATTACGTTCTTGGGTACTCTCCAAAATGGTAGAAGATGTAACTCGGGGGAGAAGAATTGTTAAATTATGTAATTTTATTTTAGATTGAAGTTGAGCCACTGATGTCACATGGACCGTTTTACCGATGTCCTTGCTTACGTTTCTGTCTGGGAACATTTCAGTTGTGTTGCTGTCTATGCAGGGTCTGAGAGCTCTCAGAATTCATCAAAAATATCTAAATTTGTGTTCCTAAGATGAACGAAGGTTTTACGGGTTTGGAACGACACAAGGGTGAGTACTTAATGACAGATTAATTTTAATTTTGGGGTGAACTAACCCTTTAATAGTTCCATTTTAAGAATTGTTTTGTACTTTTGAGGAAGAAATATTTAGAGAAAATAAATTGCATTTACGTCACTCAGCAGCCTATTGCCAAATGATGATGTTGTTCAGATTTCAACTGAAAATTTTTTTAAATGAGCAAATACAAGTAATACAGTTCTTTCAGATGGTGTTTACACAGGCATATTTAGCAATAATTTGTTGCTCATCAAGTCTTTTTAATTCAGTAACCACTCCTATTGTTCATTAATCGGACTACGCTTGCTACGAGTCCAAAGTATGCTTCAGTTTTGACGAAAATGTTAAGTGAATGCTTACAGCCGAACACATAGCTTTTCAAAGTACTGTAGACGCCATTTAATAGCACGCAAGAGCACAGGTACTCGAAACACAACAAAGTTTTTTGAAATCACTAAAAAAACCCCGGCTTATAAGTGTTATTCTTTCAGGAATCGGACTACACTGGTTGCTGTTATGTTGTAGTAGCACTATTGAATAGTAGTCGTTCAATTTGGTGACAATAGTGGTCCAGAAAACCCACACTTGATGGCGATGAGGCAAATCAGGCCTAAAATCTTGTAGTGTGTGTGTATGGTAAACAACAGATATTTTCAGTTCTTGCATTTATTGCTGCAGGTCCCCCTGCAAGAATGGCGGCCTCTGTGAGGATCTGGGTGGTTACGCTCCAGAACTGTCTTGTCGATGCCTGGCTGGCTTCACGGGGCCCCGCTGCGAGACCAACATGGATGACTGCCTGATGCGCCCCTGTGCCAATGGCGCCACCTGTTTGGATGGTGTGAACCGTTTTTCCTGCCTGTGCCCTGCAGGTTTCACCGGCCGTTTCTGCACCATCAACCTAGATGACTGCACCAGCCAGCCCTGCCTCAACGGAGGACGCTGTATAGATCGAGTCTCGACCTTCCAGTGCCTCTGCTCTCCAGGTTACACTGGAACAACTTGCGAGATTCAAGTCTGGGAGTCGGAACCTCAAGCTGTGTCTCCGTTCAGGGGCGAAGGAGACCGAGTTACTCGGAGCAAACCTGCTCTAGTCAATCGCTCCCACGGGACCACTCTTAGTGGAGAGGAGAGACGCTCATTCAAAATTTCAGTGGTGACTCAGCATGGGGCGGAAGGGCTGTCAGAGCTGCAGCTCATCATCCTGCTGGTGTTGGGGGGCATGACTTTGGCCGTGGTGGCACTAACGGCTGGTCTGGTGTTGCGCGGACATTGCCAGGACCGATCAGCTCGCTGTCGGTGCAGACCTGCCGCAGCTCACCATCGCCCATTCCACCGATGTCGGACAAACCGTGTGCCTGCGCAACAGGAATGCAAGATCAGTTTCCTCCAGTCTCCGGCTCCAGCCGAGCTCGAGAAGAAGAGGCTGAACACCGACATAATTTAGCCGCAGAGATCATGCAGCTGCTCTTGTTGAAGTAAAGGGCCACTTCTGACCTCTCAAAAGATAAGACAGTACTGATGAATCTGAGAGTTGGTCTGAGAGTTGGTTGTTGAAAAAAGGTGGTCATTGTTCAGAGTGATTACACAGAAATAAAAAACCAATTAGTTGTTTATTTTAATCAGAGATGCCACAAGTGAGGCATGTACTGCTGAGGGAACATTAGGTCAGGTAGAGTCGACATGAAATCAATAGTGCTCGTACCTGGTCTTGGAAAATTATTCCAAAGATAAGAAAGACTTGTTTGTGTAATATTTCAACAAAAATGTAATAACTTGCTCTGCCACTGAAAATCATTTTGGCTGATCTCACCAAGCAATATTTTTGATGGAAACCCTGAACCACAGAGAGTCTGTTTCCTTCCCCCAGTTGTTTTCTCTGTATATTTATTTATTCAATAAAGGCAACACTTGTTAGCTTGCTAGCTGACAGTAATCATGTAATACCAACCTCAGCCACCAAATGCCAAAAAAAATTTTACACAGGGAAAAAAATGGACTTTAAATATGGTTAGTTAACATTAACAATGAAAAATTATTTTAAAGCATTTATTAATCTTACTGTTCATTTCAACATTAGTAATTGAATTCAAAAGTATCCATTAATATTATTTAATAGGCCTAAGCTAACCTGAACTAACAAACAGTTGTATTTTTATAAACATTAACAAAGATTAATTAATTTTGTAAAGTTACAAAAAAAAAATTAAACAAAAACAAATTAGAGAATTATTTTAGAGGAAATAGACTCAGGACTTTCTTAATTTTCATATAGAGATTGCACTTTAATATCCAATCAGTTAAAAATGGATCAAATTGAATGACACCTTACCCTTTTTCTTGTTTTAATATACTGTGTAACCTGGAAATACAGTATGTCACATTATGAAGGTAAAGTGGGTTGCAGATGACTTGACTTCAAGGTACACACAGCATGGGAACTACTGTATTTGCTGATATGATGTCTGTACTCAAAGAGTAAACACTAATGGGCTGCATGTAAAAAAAGGGAAGCACTAAACCACCCAAATATATCAAAACTTCCATTATGTTACATTAGTACTGCATGTATATAATCAAGCCACGTTGCTAAAAGTGCTTTTAATTTCAGATGTGTGTGTAGCCATTTCCGCCAAGTGTTCAAACTGTAAAATATTTCATTGTGAGTGAGTATATGCCAAGTAAGTTTTATTCTTTTTGCTTTATGAACATTTTTTAAATGACAATGTAACGTTCCCTTTAACATTATAGTGATGCTCGTTTAAGAAGGTTATTAATATACATTTTATGGGAACGTTTTTCGTGATACATAACGATACTCGTTTAAGCAGGTATTTAATATTAATTTTATGGGAACGATTTTCGTGATGCATAACGATACATTAACAGCAGTATTCTTAAGTGTAAATATAATTTATGTAATTTATTGGTGAAATGTACAATTGTTTTGTATTGTTATGTGTATTTTTATACAGATCTGTGTGTATAAACATTTTGAACTGTGTAATAGTTGACCTATGCCTAAATCACTCAAAAAATGTCTTTGTATAACAGTTGCCATGACTAAATGAACTTTTCTATGCAACACACTCCATCCCCTTTAGCCCTGAATTTGACCATCACATAATTAATGCATGACAAACAGTGCCATAATTTTTAACTGACTTTTTTGAGCTGGAAAAAAAAAAACTTTTTGCTTTGCATTGTCACATTTTTAAGTTTTGAGAGTCGGACTTGTAACCCGAAGGTTGTGGGTTCGAGTCTCAGGTCCGGCAGGAATTGTCGGTGGGGGAAGTGAATAACCAGCACTCTCTTCCACCCTTAATACCACGACTGAGGTGAGACCCTTGAGCAATGTGTGTTCACTACTGTATTTGTGACCCTGGAGCACAAAACCAGTCTTAAGTCTCTAGGGTATATTTGTAGCAATAGCCAAAAAAACATTGTATGGGTCAAAATTATTGATTTTTCTTTTATGCCAAAAATCATTAGGATTTTAAGTAAAGATCATGTTCCATGAAGATATTTTGTAAATTTCCTACCGTAAATATATCAAAACGTAACTTATGATTAGTAATATGCATTGCTAAGGACTTCATTTGGACAACTTTAAAGGCGATTTTCTCAGTATTTAGATTTTTTTGCACCCTCAGATTCCAGATTTTCAAATAGTTGTATCTCGGCCAAATCTTGTCCTATCCTAACAAACCATACATCAATGGAAAACTTATTTATTCAGCTTTCAGATCATGTATACATCTCAATTTCAAAAAATTTACCCTTATGACTGGTTTTGTGGTCCATGGTCACATTTGTGCACTTGGATGGGTTAAATGCAGAGCACAAATTCCGAGTATGGGCCACCATACTTGGCCACACGTCAAGTCACAATCACACAGTCTGTGCACTACCAATGCTTTAGAAATAAAGACATCAAGTGACCCCTGGTGGACAATTCAAAACAATGATAGTTTGTGGATCTCAACCCTTTTTCATAACCCCCCCACCCCATCCCCACAGTGAGATATTTATGTACCATAATTTATTTACAGTGTGTTACCCAATGTAACACCAGCGTTTAGCTGAAAGAGATTTATTCACATGTAAGTAACAATACACCGCTTAATTTACATTCTCACTGAAAATGTAATATAAAATGCCCACCAAAGGAAGACTGTCCTACTCGCTTTGTAAAATGAGAGGTGAAGCATATAGAAGTTGCACTTATCTGTTATGATTCACTGAAATGTGCTCATCAGTTCTTGGTGATACTATCAAAATGTTTCTCCAAGATACTCCCGACTTCATCCTCTGTGTAGTCCTGGACTTGGAAGAGTGAGTTTGTCGATGCTCCTCTGATCATGGCAGACAGCACTGGAGAGTGGGAGATGAAAAATATCTATGTGGATATCTATTACGTGGAGAACGTCTTAATACCTTTTCCAGAAGAAGGTCTGAAGAGACGGAAAACCCTCTTGTTCACTGCTACAGCTCGACCGAGCTCATAACCGACTCCTAAAGACGGCTGTCACCTCAGCTACTACCACTGAGACAGAGACGGAAACACTGAATCCCTCAGATTGTGATGGAGCCCGATACAACAGAATTAAGACAGAGAACATGGTTAATGATAAAAGGCCTGAAGCAAAAGGCCTTTTTTTTAGTGTAACTGTAAATACACCATTCTTCAGGTCATGTTACATGTCTTTTTATTTCTATAAAGTACATGTGATATATAATCTACATGTATTATCATTTATATTGTTATTAACTTAGGTTTACTTGATTATCCATACCTTTAAAAAAAAATGGAAATCATGTTAAAACGTGAGTATCAGATATAATCAAGTTTTTGAGGAACATTTATTTGTTCATCTCTCAATCATCATTGTACTGCATTATGTTTTGCCCCAAAATAAAAACTACAGATCATAAAACTAAGCATTCATACACCATCTTCAGTTTATATTGCTATGAAGATCTCATTGATTTCCGGTGAATTTGATCTTACTTTTTGGCCATTTAAATGTCAGCATCTGCAGCAAATTGCATATTTTTGCTCAGTTTGGGACTCTAAATTATAATGTTATTTATGCATATATATATTAAAGATTTTGTCTAAAGGTTCACTAAACCGTAATGAATGAATGAATGAATGAATGCACTTTGCCCATTTATATTAATAAAATATTTATCTCACAATATACATTTTAATATGCTACAGTGGCCCCCATAAAGTACTTAGACACTGAAGTCACAATTAAAACTGAATATTACTGTGTTGGATACCAAAATATCAAGTTTTCATGTGGGGTTTTGGTGACTTTAGTGGAAGTATTTAGTCAGTTCTTCTCAAGTTCACACAGATGTCCAGCAGAGAAACCACAGGTGTAGAGGATCACATTCATTTCATTCTATCACTTGAAACTTCTCCACACTCCACATCTCGATCATGACAGGCTTCATCTGCACCCAAAGCCGCAGCTTCCCCTGGACCTGCCCTACAATCATCTGTCATGACTATGTGATTATTTGCAGTTGTCCACACACCAAACAATGCTAGATGAACACATAGATCATAGAAATACAAGTTCTATAAGAGGCTGCGCAACTCTGAGAGAAAGAGAGTTGAAGTGAATCACCCCGACTCAAAACCGAGCCTTACTGCTGTAACTTCTTCACTATTCTTCGGTAAATATCTCCCTCCGCGGATGCTTCCACAAAAATATATGTTCATACTTAGCAAATGTCCTCGTCCTTTGACAGCAATACAAGTGTCGATATGAGCTCACAGCATTGTACTGCTTTCACGGATAACCATCACGACAACTGAACCCTTTCCCGCTCGACCCTTTCCATTAAAGAATTAAAAAGAAAACACATGGACACCAAGGGCCCCATTCTACTGCTGCTCTGAATCACAGCATCAGCATCAGTCAGATTACTGCACAGATCAAACAGAGCTACATCACTCACTGGCAAACCCAAACACAACAGCAGAGTAAAGCGCAATGCTATCTGGCCCTAAAGAGAGAGTACAGTACGGCAGAGTATCTGTACACAGTGTCAGATAAGAAACTGAGAAGCACGTTGACCAGATACAGACTCAGCGGACACAAGCTGATGATAGAGACGGGCAGACACAGAAAAACATGGCTGCCACCGGAGCAGAGA